GTACTACTTATTATGCAGGCAAACTTCCTGCATTTATTCAAAATTGAATTCCTCATTGTAACATAAAACTTAACGATAATATTCTTTATTTTCATTTCTGTCTTTACTCTGTCCTTACTCGAATGAATTCACAAAATTTGAACCAACTATTTGCGCTTTTAGCACTTATAATAATCTCTGAGATACCAAACGTAAAGGCAATATTTGCTGGCAGATATGCACACAACGCAAATTTAATAGATTCGAGAATTTATTATCTTGGTGGTATTGATGAGCGAGATAAATTGTTGGACGATTTCTTTTTTTTGGATGTTTCTGGCGGGACGAATTTTAATGATTATTCGTTTCAGAATTTCCCAGTAGATAGGGCGAATCCAGGAATCTCTTGGGGAGCAACAATCACTACACAGCACTCAATAATTTATTTGTATGGTGGACTAAAAGTATGTTATTCAACAATTACTACATGTCATGTATATCACAAAAAAATAGATGTGTTGATTTTTTAGCTTCAAATGCTCAAACTTTATGTATCTTAAAAACAGGCAAACAATGAAGTTTGGCAATTGGCAAATAATAGTTATTCAATTGACGTAAAAAACAGTCCACTATGGACTGAAAAAGAAATTCCACTAGAAACTGGTCCAGCAGGCCGTCGTAGCATGACTTCAATTATTGATAAAGCCGGAATCATGTATGTGTTTGGCGGTTCAAATCAAACAATAAATGGAGTAACACGTGGAAATTACGATAGAACCATGTATAAATTCGATACTGCAACCGGTCTTTGGTCACAAGCACCTCTTCGTACTTCGGGAATTGACAGCACAACATTGCCAGGTTTCGATTATAGCGCCACATTATTAGATGACGGAAAAAACATTTATATTGGTGGACAATTGGCGAATGGCGTTTATCTGGATATGAATAAAGTTGAGATTTATTGAGCTTTTATTTTTGGTTCGCAAAATCGTTTGATTTATTTCTAACGCTAACGCTAATGTTTTTTTAGATTTGGTCTTATAATACTATAAATGACCAATGGACACTAAATGTGAGTTTTTAATATAAATAAGCCATTCTTTTTTTCTTTCATATCGATATAATTTAATACGAACTTTAAAATGGTATCTTAGCGTGCAGGAGGAATATCTGTTACTGCTAGAGCATCGCATTCCGCTGTATTAGGTAAGAAAATTTCATTCATATTTTTACATAATTTATTTGATTTGATATTAATACTTCGTTCCCTTAATATGTAGCTAATGACCGAACTAGCATCATAATATATGGCGGTTGGGGTGAACCAAATCCAATCACAGACGACCAAGCACTCATTATTTTAGACACGACAACTTGGACTTGGTCAAAACCATCAATCACAAATCCATCATTAACTCGACACGCACACACCGCAACTCTTTACAAGAATTACATGATTGTAGCATTTGGTTAGTTACAATATTTCAATCATTATAAATTTGTTTTCCAATAATTATTTTATCATTTTTCGTTCCTTTAGGTGCACACCAAGACAAATTCGACAGCCAAATTATTTCAAGCAACTTCATTTCAATTCTCGACATTTCGAAATTCAAATGGGTCACTTCAATTGATAATAATCAGACAAATAGTCTGCCGAATAATCAGACAAGTAATCCGCCGAGTAGTAGCTCGGACAATTCCGGGAGTCGACTTGCAATAATTATTGGCGCTAGCGCTGCCGGATTTGTCGGATTCACTATTTTAATAATTGCTGGTGTGCTACTATATCGACATTTAGATCAGAAGAAAATGAATGAAAGGGCGGAAGCCGGGATGTCGGAAGTTGTGGTTGTGCAGCCAAATATCATTTAGTCGGTTATTTTAGGTAGTTCAAGTTAATTGATAAGCAGCGAGTTTTTTTTAATACAAGCAGATTTAATTTAGGCATACATATATAAAAGTACACTTGCTATCTTCATTCAGTTACACCCGATACAGTCACTCCCTCTCTCAATCACGCCTTTTCCTATTATGAAGCATAGGAAATTTGACCTCCATACAGTCACAACCTCTTTAAAGTCACTTTTTTCATGTTTCTGAGTGTGTGATTATATAGAGGTATGGCTGTACCAAACTTGTCCCAAATTTATATTTTAACGTTAATAATTTCATTTAAACAAAGTTTATAGAATAATTATAATTATACATAATATATTTACAGATCTTTAATAAGATTTTTTGCATTCAACTTTTTATAAATTTTTCTATTTGGGCCTTTGTGAAGTGACAAATCAGGTATTTTTTTCATTAAGAAAGCTACCTTCCAGATTTTTAGGTGGATGGTGGGTTAGCTAAAGTGTCAGGTTCTAATTCTGGCCAGAGATAATCAGAATTAAAGAATTATATCAGAGAATACTATATTAAACAAAAATCACCCGATTTCTAGAAGTAAGATATCAGATGTGATCAATGGAACTTCATTTGTGGCACTCCACTCAATGAAGATGGCCACCTGTCCTAAAGACCTCCGTCTTTGCAGTCCAATCTTGATAAAAGGTAATTTTCAGTTCTCGTGACTATAGAAAAAAGACTTACATCTATATATGCTATTATATTTGTACTAGATAAGATAACGATAAGGACTGATGTGTAAAGACCGACAACCTTGCAAGATTGATCATAGTAAGGTGAATGCCACAAATCAGGTGATTGTTTTGGAAGGGGCGAGCCTTACCTACCAGTCATGTATAATATTTTATTAATTATTATTGGTCCAGATAAATCACAAGGGAGTGAAGGAGTAGCTCTACTAATAAAATGAAATCAAATGATTTGTGGCATTCCCCTAAGACCGTATAGGGTGATGCGAATATCATTATGGTATAGATAACCAGATCAGTATGGTATGCACCACGTGGGGACTGTAATATTTCATGTACTGTATTGAAAAGGGTTAAATGAGTTGGGTTCGAAATATAAGGTGAAAAGGGGTATTTTGGATTTTTTACTAATATTAATATATTTTGGCTAAAAAGTACACTCAATTTTGTTTAAGCCTAGCGTAATTTGACTAATAATAAAAATAATAAAGGAGAAAAACGATCGTTTTGTATGTCACATACAAAATGTCAATTTTTGGAGAGAGAAGGGTACTGTGACGAAGTTATCGTATCTCTAAATTGGCCTTTTAACCTGCTTCAAATAATAAGTAAATACGTGCAAAATATATTTTTTCATATATCTACTTATTAAGTTAAAAAGATCAATAATAACTTCGTCACACTACCCCCGTTCGCCAAAATACTCCCTTTTTACCTTGGATTATTTTAAAAGATTTATGTAGCATAGTATAGTAC